AATTGAAATCATAAAATAATAAAAATAATATCACATAAAGAGAGAATACAATAAATAATAATTATTGAGTAATCTTATACCAATTGTCTTCCCTATTGTTTCTTTGTGAAAATAAGTACGAAAGAAGGGGAAAAAAAAGAAGCACAATCGCCATGAAAAGATTAGAAACAATGTGTAGATGATGAGAATAGTATGGGTAAGAGAGAGAGAGCTTGGCGTGGTTGCGTTGTCCTATCGTTCCGCGAGGGACCCCTCTCCTCAGCCTATTCGTTCACTCTGTTCTCTTCCCGATGAGTGAGTGGGTGGGTGGTGGCGGAGCGTCGGTCGAACGGAGGAGAACGAGGATAAAGTGGGTAGAGGGGAGAGAGGTGGAAGGACGGATCGGGGCGTGCATACATCCATAGGCCGCGTAATTTCCGCGGGTCGCCGCAAAATCAATAAAAGAAACATTACATCGGCGGCTGGCAGTACTGAGCGGCACTGAGCAGCAGCGGCAGGGGCCATGGGATTGGATGGGGAAAACGAGATGGGAATGGGTCGCGCAAGCGTTGCTAGAAACTCTATCGGTGGCGGGTATGGGACTATCTCTGTCTATCTCCTATCCCTTTCTCTCTCTCTCTCTCTCTCGCTCTCTCTCTCATACTTTTTCCTTGCTTCCGGAGAGAAAGAGAGGAAAGGAAAGCGGCCGCCGAAGAAGTAAGAGCACCAACGAGTCTTATGAAATATGGCCTCCTTACGTAGGATCCGCGATGCCGCCCCAAGGAAGAAGAGTGAGAGAGAGAGAGAGGAGTGGGGAAGACCGGCGCGCGTTTCGTTCCAGAAAGAGAAGGAGAAGCCTACGAGAAGGAGATAAGTAGATGCCGAAGAGAAGAGAAGAGAAGAGAGGAAAATCGACCTATCCTCGAGCACCGGAGGATAAGAGTAAAATAGTTAAAGAAAAAGAATGGAAGAAGAAGAAAAAGAAAAAGAAAGAGAAAGACTGCGAATAGGAAAGATCTATACGACCCTGGAGCGTACAGGAAGGAAAAGGAACTGGTCATATCTTTTCTCTCTCTCTCTCTCTCTTTCTCGCTCTCTTTGTATCCACCACGTATCGTGTGGTGACTTTATAGATATGTCCCCGCGAAGGAACCCGTTTTTTTAGTTTTGCGATTACAACGCGATTCTTCCCTCCTCTCATGACGAAGTATGTTTTGTTCTTCTTCTACCAAAAATATTTATTCAATCGTGATGCTTCAGTTTCGACTCACGCGATCACACAAGGCCTTATAAATAAAATAAATTTTTAAAAAATATCACGCTCTCTTTCTCTTATTATAGTCCGATCGATTGTAAACCAGGAACAAAATTAATTTAACTGGAAGTAACGTTAATTAGCGAGTCGTAATAACGCGGTTATAAGATTACTCCCCGTATAATCAATGTTTTTGATAATATTATTGTACACTTAATTTAAGTGAAAATTATAGATAAGCTTTACTCTACCGGTTAACTTGATTTTGCAATGTGTATATAATAATATCGTAAAAACAATCGGAAATCGGAGTAAAGTTATACTTTTCTTTTTCTCTAGTTCTTTTTTTTTTTTTTTAATCAAAAACTTCGTTGCATTAGATAAACAAATTAATTTGCGAGAAAATGGGAACGATACGACGACGATCGTTTCAGAAACAACAAAGTGCGTCATTTCAAACTTAGGTGAGTCGACAAGTAGACACCTATGCAAGTATCGGCTTCTTCGAGGAAGAAAAAGGGGTTGTTTAACGAAAGACCGAGTTCTAATGGATACAATCGAACGAGATGGTCGATAGAGAGAATGAAAGAGACAGAGAAAAACTGAAGAGAGAGAGAGAGAGAGGGTGGGAGGGAGAAAGAGGGAGAGGAAGAGAAAACACGAGCAAACGTAAGAGCAACAACACAGATGCCGGGGGTATAGATGAAGAAGGAAATGAGAAAGCAGCCCTGCGGAGGGCTGCACAAAAGGGAAAGGAGGGGGAAAGTTTGTCCGTCACTCAACGTGGATATTTACGCGGGGCACTACCGTCAATGGGGTGAGCAACATAAAGGAATCTCCTCCATCTCCTCTCCCCTCTTATCCTCTCACAATCTCTTGCGGTTACCATCTCGGTCGACTCTTCGTTCATCGACACGTTTTCGAGCAATTGTTTCGTACCGTGGCAATGAGCAGCAGTCACAAATGACCATTTATCTATCTACCATCTCGATCTCCTATTATTCGATATAGAAACAGTCCGATGGATTATTATTCTCTTTTTCCCTTGCTTAGAAATAAAAAAAAAGGATCATGAAACGGAGATCGTCGAGGAGATGCCGTGACAAATTGTCTAAATTTTGGTGAATAGTCATTCATATAATATGTATGTTAGTTAATAAATTAAAAAATTCTTTCAAAACATGTTCTATACCGTCAACTGTGTGTTATATCACATACTTTAATTAAATCGCGTACGGGAACTGTGACGAGGGAGAAAAAAAATTAATTTTTCAACTACTTGGATTTGAATTACAGCATAGTGTTTTAATAATTTACAATTCTTTGGTTTTTTATTTTATTTTTTAATTTTATCTATTTATTTTTTGTTTGTTTAAACTACAAACTTTAACAGATTTTAATTCCACTGGAAGTTTATTTTACTTTACTGTTAACACTGACCGGTAAAGCTTTTATATTTTCTTTGTGAACCTCTTTTTCTAAATTAAATTTATTTTTACACAAATTATAACTGTGACACGTTTCAACGTGGTACGTTCAAAGTCGATAGAACAGTACGACTGACAGAAAATCTGTTTTTAAAAGATAGAAAGAGATAAGAACGTATAACTAGGAGCACTTATTGTTCCCGTTTATTTTATTTTCGTTTTCATAGTATTCGAAGGAAACCTAGTTTAATTCCTTAAATCAATAGAGAAACTCTATCTCGAGATTAGATAACCTTCTTTTGAAAGGCCATAAAACAAAGAAACATTTATTTTCTGTCTTCGGATTTACAACAATACGGTATAGACACAGATATTGAAATGAGAAAAATCGACAAATATTTTTCTTATATTTTAAAATAAAATTTCAATTTCGTACCTTAATTACTTGTCACTTGTAAATTCATATATATTACTTAGTTGAATAATGTAATTTTGCCTTATTACATATTTTAACAAATCACTATAGGTTATTTCAGGATTTGGCTGGGTATTTTACAAATTAACGGATTTTTAAAAGTAACAGTATGATATATATATATATATTATCTAAAAGCTTTCAAAGCTCTGATTCGTTTAAAGTACGAAGGGTAAAGAATGTCGGTAAGTTTACAGTCCACTGTACTGATTCGTACGGATAGTCAGCGACGGTGATAACGAGTTCAAGAATGATCCGTTATCCGTTAGCGTCATTTCGTATTAAAGGAAACGAAAAATCAACGAGACGAGAATTATTCCAATCGATGGTACCTATCGATCCGACGAAGAACATTGTAAAGATAAAGTGAACTGGGTCACGATATAAATTAAGTGCTATCTCGGTAAGCCGACAAGTAAAATAAAAGAAAAAAAAAAAAAAGGTAAGAGAAAGAGAATGAGAGAGAAAGATAGATAGGGAACGAGATGAACGGGGAAAAAAAAGAAAAGAAAAGAAAGAAAAATAAAAGGAGGCTCCTGAGTTTTCAGACCTGTACTAATTACGATATCGCCCTAAAAAAGTAAATTGATCCCTCGTTTTAGCAAAGGATAGGCATGACGTGGTGGATGGGAGTCGCGTTCGAAGATACAAGGGTCCTTATTTCCTTTTTTCGTCGGCGTATCTACGAAAGATCGAGGATGGATCACCGAATAATAATCGAAGGTAGTTCGATGCGTTTGAAAGTACTTCAATTTCGTCGATCTACTCTTTTCCGCCGCTTTTGTTAATTATTTCCGTAAATAGCGTGACAACAAGTTGTCAAAGAAGCGAAGTTCGAAGTACTCGTTCGGAAGTGTCTTTACGAATAAAAGCTTATTTATAGCTGAAATATCGCGCGAGTTACTTCCAAGTCTAGCATTCTCAGCAACGATGTTCTCGTTTTCGGATCATAAAATATACCGTTCAATGTACTCTCTTGACACAGTTTTGTATCTACGAATTCTATGCGAAATTATCCTGAAAATTTAACTTGGATTCTCCGTTTACCAACGACACGTATTAGTATTTAACGACATACAATGGCGATCGTTCGTTTCTATAAATGAAAACTGTTCATAAACTGGCTCGTTAATAAGATGTACTGATAGCGAAAACGAAAGATATCTATTATAGGTACTCGCTAAAAATGGTTAATTATAGCGGACAAGCTCGAGTTACTTCGTGGAAAATTATCTTGCATTCTCGATCTAACCCGTTCTATTTTTCATTTCTTTCGGACGTTGCTCGCGGTACAGAGACTAAAAAATTAAGAGTGTGCTCGATTCGGACTGGATAATGTCGGTGGATAAAATAAGTAACTTCGGTAACATCCTGACGTACGACGCAGGTGGTTGGTGATGCCGTCATTTAATATGTTCCTATCTGCATCTGTAGGTGGAGGTAGATATTATATTATAATGTATTATTCCTTTCCTTCTCAACAATTTCTCAATTTAACGATAATAAGAAGTTGAAATATACGAAATGTACGATATCCGGTAGCAATGATGACACATAAGTACCACAAAGATAACGCGAAGAGAGCAAAGCGACATATGTGAGCCAAGTTTATACGCTGTCCAGTAAAATGACATGATTACCATTGCTGAACATTCCAATGCTCGTTTGCATGCGATATTCCGAAAGAATAAGAACCATCTCCTGTAAACGGCAAATACATTTTTCTTTTTATATTTAGTGCAAATACGTGTTCCTTCGATAAATTATCAAATTTTTAATATTCACATGATACAAGTGAATGTCTATGTATAATCTATGTTCAAGATATGAAATTAATATGGGAAAAAGATATTAGAATAAAAAAAAAAAAGGAACAGTAATTTTATTATTTTCCATAAAATGTTTTGCAAATGATAAAGAAAAATCAATTTTCGATCGATGCCATTGCGTCGAAGGGGTGGTAAGCAAGCAGTTTGTCAGGGTTACCGGACTATTTTTATGTCGTTGCGACGCGTTGCGGCGGTTTATCGTGCGAATTATCCTAACACGAATCTCAGATAACGGCTTAGTCGCGTGTAGACGCGTTGCGTATTCTTTCTTTCTCCCTTTCTATGTATATATATACGAATGTAAGTAAATGTGTGTATGCTTTTTAGTACCACGTGCGTGTGCAATTAGTTTGACGCTGCGTGCAGTCGAGCGAGTGCACGAATGTTGCGTTTATCGAGCTCGCCCTTTCGACGACAATGACGACGACGACGACGACGACGACGAACTAAATCCTTTTTTCGAATCTGCAAAAACAATATCATTTTCGATTATTTTTTTCGATTCGAAATACGTTTGTTTCTGGAAATCGCTGGATTTGGTAACGATCGTTAAGCTTGATGTCGGCACCAGACATTTAACGCAATGTTGCGTTATATCCTATTCTCCTTCTCCCTCGCTCTCTTTCTCTCTGTTTTTATTACGTTCGTTTTAAATAAACTTCATTAGCACATTATGAAAGTTACAAGTAAAAGCTTTTCCCCAATCGCGTGAAAAAGGGGTAGAGGAGTAGCGTATGAAAGAGGGGAGACAAGTTCGATGCGATACTTTTACCTTGTATTATATGTCCGAACGAATTTTAAGCATAATAAAAAGAAAGATTCGTGGATAATCGCGTCAATAAAACTACAAAACGTATTATTCTCTTCATTATTTCATCGAAAAGATTAATAACGAGGATTTATCTATCTCTGTACGATATCCTCGTAGCGTTTCTCATTTGATGAATTATTATATGTAAATTAAATGACAAAATAAAGAAAAAATAAAGAAAAAATAAAGAAGAAAATAAAGAGAGAAAAAAAGGGGAAATTTGTGAACCACTGAAGAAACTAGTCGCCGTTGGTAGGATCGGAGCGGGCGAGAGAGTCGAAAACCTTCTGTGAACCCTACTTACCCCCCACCACCATCCGGTGAGACTGCTTTCTTTCGTTCCACGATGGGCCCGTTCGAGGCTCGATGGCCGGGCCAAGCTGCAGGCTCGGGGCCTAAAATGCATGCTAGGTTCTCGTTTCTCTCCTTCCTTCTCTCTTTCTCTTTTTTTTTTCTCTTTCTCTTGACACACGAAGACTCGGTTGGACGAGAGGGAGAGAGAGAGAGAGAGGAGAAGAGAAGAACGTTGAGGGAGGGTGAGAGGAGGGAACGCGCGTTGCTAGGCGTCTTCCTCTCGTTGCTAGGGCCCCGCAACTCGGTGCCCCTCCCGGCTCCGCCCCGTAGCAAGCCACCGCTCCAACTCCGCGGAATAGTCCCAAAATGCATCGGTGCCACACGGCCCTCCCGTCCCTCTAACTGCTGGCTCGCTCACCCGTCGCTGCGCAATGTACGCCTAAAAGAAAAAGATAGAAAGAAATGGAAGGAAAGAGAGAGAGAGAAGGCTTATGAGAATGGCTTCGAGTTTCTACTATGACTCCTTTTACCATCGCTAACCAAATTACCAGTGCACATCGACTTCTCTTTATCATTTTTTTTTCCTTCTCTTGTTATTCTTCTTTATTTTTATCCTTTTGTTTTGTTTTGTATTTTTAATACCAATCCTACAATAACATCGAAACTTCTTCTCCTAGGATCTCTAATTTATTCATAATTTATTATTTATTAGGTATACTACTTTACGTACTTTACGTTAATTTTATTAACAACATTTATTCTAACGCGTAAAAGATATAATTTAATTTATTTTGCTACTACAAGGGCGGATGTGTGGGCCAAGCCTATTTTAGGTGGAACGGCTTAATGCAATTTATTCCTTTCGCTTCGCGTTTGTCTTCTCTACTCTTCCAATCTTCGTTCCTGCCGCTTTTCTTGCCTACCTCTTCTTCTTCTTCTTCATCTTTTTCTTCTTCTTCTTTCCACTAGTTATGCGTCGACTCCTCTCTACTCGTTGGATATAATTTCCTCTCTTACTCTTTCTCTTTCTTTCTCGTCCGGAATACAAATATACATTTATATACGTAGTAGTAATAGTAGTTGTAGTAGTAGTAGTAGCAGTAGTATTTAGAAGTATCTTGCTATGTTCTCTCTTTCTCTATCTCTCTTTCTCTTTCTCTTCTGCTAAAGTAGCGATCTCCAATTTTTGGCCCCCCGTCACACCCTTCCTCTTCCCACTCTCATCAGTATGGCGGAGCAGCCATCTTCTTGTCGCTGCCCTCGTCACGTATCGTCGAAAGTACACGGTAGTTTCTTCTTTTTTTTGTTTTGTTAGTTCTTTTTTAGTTTTGTTCAAACGATCGTTGTACCCAAACCTCGCACTTATGAGAGAACCTTCTGAAATATATTTTTTTTTCTTACAGGAAAGAGGTCTTCTTGCGTCTCGGAGAAGAAGAGAGAAAAAAAGAAGCGCTAGCGAGAGAGAGAGAGAAATAGAAAGCCAATTTTCATCAAACGAACGAGCTACGTTCGAGAAAATACGATCGATAACGATTGATCGTATAATATTCGCACCTGGAGTTCTTTGTTCGTAGGCTGTGGTCGATCGTACACGATGGCGGTAGAACTCTATAGTAGTGGTGGTACACGTAGGGTGGTCAAAGGAAGGTCGTAAGAAACAAGGAAATCATGAGAAATCGCGGCTTGATTCTACAAATCGATATATCGCGAAATCACGACTAATACACGTGTGTAATACGACGCCCGTCTCGTGTTGTTTCGTGTCGCGTCACGTTTATCGTGGCTCGGACGCGAGCGTGAATGGCATTAGCAAATAATGGAATACGAAAGAAGCTATACGAGACGTCGACGAGGTATTTCATTATTAATGCGCGTACCTCTATATCGTATCGGTTAGTCGTTGTTAAACGGTAAGTTGAGAAGAACCGATGGCTAATCGTTCGAATTTAAAATATATACTAATACATATCAACAATAAGTACGATTACGCTAGCATAATTTTCCATCATTAAAACTATTGTCCTCCTAATCGAAGACACGAAGTCGTGTTTAAACATAATATAACGATACATAAACATTGTCAATTCCTTCTTTTCCTAAAACTTGATAAATCAATTTCGGCAATACGAACAACAACGATAACGACGACGACGACGACGACGAGGAAAACGACTAGCTGCGGCCCTGTGTCTTTGCTAGAATCCCCTCTACCGAGTTTGAGGCTGCACCTAAAAGCACTATCCCTTCGTTCTGGCGGCTGTTGCAGCGGCATGGCCCTCCCCACCATCATTGCATTCCTCCTATTTGGGTCCCCACCATCGGGTCCGAAAAGTGCAACGGCCTAAATTCACGTAGGGGAAGTTACCAAGGGCCTTGGGCTTCTCCCACCCGTTCTCCGGTGCAACAACCTAATTTCTAGACCCTCTCTCCCTGTCCCCTTTCCCCTCTGCTACCCCCTTTTCCCTCATCCCCCGTCCCTCGCTTCACCACCTCTTCCATCCTCCTCGTCGTACTCCTCTTCATATTCTTCTCCTTCTTACTCTCTCACTCTCTCTCTCTCTCTTTCTCTTTCTCTCTCTCCGTTCTACCACCGCCCGCACGGAATCATCGTGCCTCTTCTACTTAATGCAATCGCTAGTCGGTTTTCGGTGGCGACCCTTTTCCTCTCTCACTCTTTCTGTCTCTCTTTCTCTCTTATGGCCATTTCCCTTCCCCTCCTCCACCTCCTCCTCCTCCTCGTCCTCATCCTCGTGAGTGCGCTCACGCTCGGCTCAGCCTTCTTCTCTGCACTCTCTCTCTCTCTCTCTCTACTCTCTACTCTCTACTCTCTACTCTACTCTCTACTCTATCTCTCTTTCTCTCTCCTGTCAATCGCTCCTTCTACCCCCCTTCCAAAAGCCCCTTTTCTTATTCCCTCTCGTCGTCGCGCAATCGTGTCCGCTTACTAGCGACTCGTGGATGCAATACGATGCCATCGTACTACACAACATCGCGGCAAAGTCCCGCTCTCTGCTTATTCTTCTTCTTGAAGTCTTCTTTCTCTTTCGCTCTTCATCAGTTTCGTCCATCCTATTGGAAAAAGAATTGACGTTCTCAAATCATTTATATTTACTATGATAGATTTTACTCAGGTGTAAAAAGTAAATATCGGAAAATAATAATAGTATTGTGCAATTGATTTATAATAAATTTAATATCATTTAGTTACTTATACGTTATTGATTTCGTTTACGAGATAAAGAGATAGTCGGGAGAGGAGAAGGAGAAGGAGAAATTTAGCGCGTTGAATCAAAAACGATAGATTCTTTATACCATAAGAATTTCATTCGAGTATGGTTTCTTGATCGTTATGCAATTGAAAAAAAAAAAAAGAACTGAGCACCAAAGTTGGATCGCTTTCACTGTAAACAGAGGAGAGAAAATCTACTACTAGTCTCTGACGTATTATAATATTTTGTTTAAAAAAGTTTTGAGAAAAAATAATAATAATAAAAAAAGAAAAAAAGAAAAGAAAAAAAAAATAATAGAAGATCGAAGAGAAGCGTGGGACTCTTTCTCTAAGACGGTATACACGTATTTAGAGGTATCGAAGTTTTTCGTCGAAATTAACCTAACGACTAGAACGAAAGAAATTGAGAGAAAGAAAGCTATTCCTCGAGGGGTTTATTCGTAGGGGCATGATTAGGCTGTTGAAAAATCGCGCTGGCGTGCAGACCTTTCTAGACATTGTTGCAATCGTAGAAATTGGGATGAAGAAGGATCGTTATCTTCATCTTCTCCTTTCTCCCCTCATTCTCTTTTACATCGATGTTCCAGGCTAGCACGGGAGCTTCGCGAGAGATCGTTCTTGTGAAGAGAGTTAGGTAGGTAGGTAGGTTGGTTGGTTGGAAGGTAGGTAGATAGGTAGGTAGGTAGGTAGGTAGATATACGTAACTCCGATCGAAATTTTTCTTCTCCACTTTCCTCTACTTGTCAGCGGCGAGCATGACTTTCGTCCGACTGTTATTTGAAAGAGAAATACTGTGTAGGTGTGTATATATATATAAATATATGCGCATGTATATATGTCGATAGGTATGGTAGAGAGATATAAAAAAAAAAAATAAAAGAAAGAAAGAGAAAAAGAATCTTCTCTCAAAGCACTACTCGGCACAGACAAGAGAAGAAGAACTCTTCGGTTGGTTCTTGCACGCTTTCGAATTTCACGCGGAAATCGGCCCATTTCGGCGCGCCTCTTTCGTTTTCGAAGGCATTTCACCGTTCGGAATCCTCCTCCTCCTTCCCCCTACCTCTCTCTATCACTTTCTGCCATTTTGCTCCTTCCTACTTCTACTCTCTCTCCCTCTCTTTTTTTTTTTTTTTTTTTTTTTTTTTTTTTTTTAAACAAGAAAAACGAACGAACGATCATCCAGCTCTTTCTACACTCGGACAAAACTGTCGTGCCATCCGTTCTCTATGGCGAGGAGGAGAACCAAGCACGGAGAAGAAGTTTTCTTTCNTTTGCTCCTTCCTACTTCTACTCTCTCTCCCTCTTTTTTTTTTTTTTTTCTGTTATTTTTGTTTCTCTCAGCAGAGTAATACTACCATCATCCAGCTCTTTCTACACTCGGACAAAACTGTCGTGCCATCCGTTCTCTATGGCGAGGAGGAGAACCAAGCACGGAGAAGAAGTTTTCTTTCTCATCGCGGGTTCTGCGAGAGGAGGATCAACGGCCGGACAAAAGTTCTTTGAGCCGAGGACCACCTGCCCGCGGATACGAGCCGCCTCGGTCCACCCCTCCCTCGCCACCTCTACTACATGCCACCCCTCTTCTTGTATTGGCATCGGTGTATTGCCCCTTCGGTTGACTTGGATTAGCCACTTAGAATCCAAACTTGTTCCCCGTCGATCCCGGGAAAATGTCTAAGGTAACGCCCGATAACACTATGGCGGTTATAACTTATAAAACTATTTTATTTAGCTTTCATTGTTTTTTCAACTTTTTTTAATTGTCTCTTGAACGTCTTTTTTTAATTCATTTAAATCGATATTATATATTTTAATTTGGAAAAATAATCAAATTAGGTTTATATACGTGTGCTAGTAATTATTACGATTATTTTCTAAGTCATTTTTTATAAAATCTTTTTTTCATACTTTTATCGTACATATACGCTTGAAAAAAATTTACTATTATAGAATATTAAATAAAAAAAAAAGTCTAGATTGGTGTGTTAACAAACTTTAATGGATAAAAACTAATGAAAGTTAGTCTTGAAGATTTTAATGCAATAACCTAACGTACGGATATGAAATTTGTAAAGAAAAAATTCGTGATAACCATGTATAGTTGAATGTGTTAGTTTGCGCGTAAGAGCACGCACACACGCACACTTCTACATTTCAACGTACAAGACGCTTGCCACTGCTTGCATGAGACGTTTGCATGCTCTTCTCGGGGTAGGCTCGTTCGTTGCGTGCGCATTGCGTGCACGGAGCAAGTCGAGCATAGGATGCCGAAACTTTATTTCCAGAATGTTTGATTTGAGAAAGAAATAGCCGTGACTCGTTCGCCCGAAAGGTTTTTGCCTCCCGTAAACTACGCCTAATTTAAGAGGTTCTTGAACTTGCTTGCAGTGAACGAGTAAAAAAGAAAGATAAAAAGAGAAAGAGAGAACACAAAACTCTTTCAGCTTCGACGAAATTTCAATCTTTTCATCCGAAAATTCTCTTTCGCCGTGAGAAACCAAGCGGTTATGTTTATTTGGATTGTAACTATTTTTCCAATGTTTTCTTTTTTTTTCATTTTTATATTCGATCGTGAATTTATTCGGTGGAATGAAACGACCGGTTTACCAGAGAAGGTAAATTAGACCCGCGTAAGAGTTCGTAGAAGAAAAATGAGAAGAATAATAAGAAGAAAAAGAATTAGTAGAGGCAGAAGGAAAAGAAGAAGGGGAAGGGAAAGGGGAAGGGAAAAAAAATGGGAGAACAACGACGTGGTGTTTTGACGAACGAAACCGCGAGCAAAAGTAACTACACGGAAGCGTGAATACGATTCTCTTGTACTTACCGGTGAATTCTCTCGAGGTAAGAATTTTGGCTTGGCCCGGGCTTTGGCCTGGTCACGGCTTCGTGAATCCGCTCTGACTTTTTCCACTCTTCCTGACGAACGATTGTTTCGTTGCATCCTGCCGCCTTGCACTCTCCCATAAAAGTTTGGGAACGGAACAACGAATCCTTCTCGTACTTTTCGCCGATTCCTATCTTCAAGTTGAACGGATAAGGTGTGAACAGCCAATAAGAGAACTCCTTTTTATTCTACTAAAGATATCTGATGAATTTATTTCCTAATTTTCGTTCTTATTTTCTTCTCTTTTATTTATCTTTCTTCCTGTCATTTAGATCCGACGATCAATTATTTAATTCGATTTGTGCAATTGCTTTGTTACCAAAAATTTTATTCAAGAAACTTCTCTAAAGATCTAAAACAGTTTTTTTATCTGTGTTTTATCGCGAATTCGCGATTTATAAAAAAGATAAGATTTTTCAAATTGTTAAGAACGGGTAGCAACGAATAAACGAACGAACTTTAGATCATAATAATCCGTCCTATCGCATTTTTTGAGATATGCTCGTCTGAACAATAGATTCGATATATTATACGCGAAACTAAACTCTCTGCGGGAATATCTACGTCGCGATAAAGTGACCGCTAATTGTCATCTAGAAAATCGCAGATAATAATACACGTTCTGGTTGGTTAATGAAAGCGTAAGAAATCGTACCGTACAATGACCCTCCAAATAGGGTATATCCGGGATCTATATCCTTCCTAACTTCGTCAATTCAATCCTTATGGTTGACGGATAGCTTTGTATTATATATAGCGACGACTATTTGAAAAAAAAAAAAGAAGCTAAATGTTTCGAAGAAATCTTTGAGATATAATAGTATATCGTTTTTTTTACACATACAGCCCAATGAATGCGTCCCGATATAAAGTCATAAGTTTCTATTAAGCATACATGTATAGTAAATTATTTGCACAAAAATTTGTGCTTAACAAACGTCGTATATCGACCCGAGACAATTTGTTGTTCTTTAAATGTGAACAAAAAAAGCGAAATAAATTTGAAAAAAAAAAGAAGAAAAACTCTGCCATAAACGATCAAAACAAATGAAACATTGGAACATATGGGTGAGGGCAGATATATGAATTCTTCTTCATTAATATGATTGTTCGAAACAGTACATTATAGAAAATTTTGTTTTTCGCGATACGTATATAGATTTTTATGGAAAAAAAAAAAGGAACACGACATGGATAAAATCAAGCAGCGATTGCAGCAGCAGCAACAACAACAACAACTACCGGTAGAATAGTAGTTACCACTACTAAAACGAAATCGCAATATATGTGTCACGCGTTTGGGTTGATCCGTCTCGCTTCGGGGAATATTGCGTTCCGATTGGCTGTTCCGTCGGAAATCGCGGATGATAAATATTAATTATTTTTGTTTACCTCTCGACCGTGCGGCGTAGCATTAATAACATTTCGATCTTGCTCTATCCATTTTGCGGCGCGGTCCTCTTCTACCCCAGGCAGCCCCGGCCGGCCAGGAGCAAGACTACGGGCCGGGTGGTAACAAACGAATTTGTTAGTTCATGCCGTTTGGTCTCGCTCTGCAAAAACATTGGAACAACGGGTTCGGATCCTTCCTCCCACTCATTTCCAACAACGTTTTCAACCTATCTGCGCAAGAGAGAGAGAGAGAAAAAGAGAGAGAGAGCTAGAGAGAGAAATGAGGGGAACGGCGAGGGGATGGGGGGGGAGGGAAGGATGGTAACAGTCGCACAATGATCGTCGCGCGAATACGTAATTTTCGCAAACAAAGTAGTCGTGCAAATAATAAAACGCGCGTGTTTACCTTGACCGATGTGTTCCGCGAGCTCAACGAATTTAATTGCAATATCGACTAGGGTATATGCATAACCCGAACGACGAAATTCGGTTTTAGGCATTCGCTCTTCCTCCTACCATCTATTTCTCTTTCTCTCTCTCTTCCTCTCCCTCTTTCTCCCCCTCAGTTCCTATCTCTCTTTCTGTCTCTCTAGTCGCATTCGTATCGAGGGTGATGCGGATAAAATCGTCGGCATCGAATGCCGAATCCGCGCCAGGGGTTCGTTCGGCGCAACCCAGGCTAATCCGCTGAGCTCGATCGCTGGATGATTATAATGCTTGTTTTCTGCTTTCGATCTTTCCAAGATTCCTACAGGTATGAGAATATAATGTTAATGAAAGAGAGTAATTAACGATCGATGTACTTCGTTACTCGATTCATTTATTGTTATCGGTTTGCGGATTTTTCTTAAAAATTCATGAACACGAATTAAAATGAGTATTTTTTGAGATCCCTTTTTTTTTTCTTTTTCTTCTTTCCATTAGAACAAGTTTACACGAATTTTCTAACGAATTTTCTGACGAAATCGGGAATTGTTTATTATCTAATTTCGAGTGTAATGTTCGCGAGTTTAGCGAACGAAAGTAAACGAGGGTGGAGGGTAATAAAAGGTATATCTTGATGAGGTCGGTTCCGCGCGTACCAACGTCTACGAATTTCATTGTAACACGGACGCTCACAATTAGAGGCTCGCGTGCGTCCTGCAGAAAGAGAAAAGGAAGGCTCGCATTCTCGCCGTTGAAGAAACCGGTGAAAGGAAGTCGAAGGATGGAAAAGGCGAGGGACAAGTTTGCGATAACTTTCAACTTGGCTGGACACCCCGAAACTTTTTCTTCTTCTTTTTCTTCTTATTCTTCTTCTTCTTTTTTCTTTTTTCTTTTATTTCACAATGTAGATCAATCTTTGTTCTCAAACGAGAAATAAAGATGTTTTTCTTCATTCAATCGTTGCGAATTAATTTCTAGCTATTGAGTATTCCGCGTCATACATTTTACACGATCGTTGCTATTACTTGCAAATACCTTATCTCGTATATTCTATATTTAAGTTCAATGCCAAGTGGTAAGAAACTTTCATTACGCCAAGAGAGTCGTGGCGATTATCGTAGCGATGATCAGCAACGTTATTCGACTTTGTTCGTTGTTTTTAAATAAATATAATACAAGGAAAGAACAACAGAATTACATCTATAGACAAAACTTGGATTTCTCTGATTCGAGTACCTCAAGAGAAACTCGACAATGTTTTGTTGACACTTGGGAAATTCCAAGTATGCGCTGTATGCTTTATGTCATGACCACTAGCAGATGCATACGCGCTTTTCTTTGTCTATTGAAAAATTCTATGCATCCTCGAGCAGCCAAGGAAACGTAGAAACGTGTTCTAATGTTCACCGAGCTTTCACCCTCACCTAACCCCCCACCCACCCATTCCATACTTTAGACGACCATATTTGTTATGTACGAGTCCCAACTCGCGTTATCCCGATTTACAATATAAAAACGTGCAACCTTGTCTGGCCCTTCGGTGTTTACGAATTTACTGAAAATGAAAATAAAAGAGTCGTTTGTGAAGTAGATCGTTAAAAGTAAACATACGTGTATGTACATTGCATATATATATATATATAGAGAGAGATGTACACGCATATGCTTATACGTATGTATAGTAAATGAGTTCTCAAAGCGTTCAATCGTTGCTTTTCGAGAGGAAAATACCGTGTTGTTAACGATAAAGTAACGATAAATTGATATTAACATCATAATCGAGCGTCAGGAATCGAGAGTATTGTCGTGATCGTGTGACAACGATTACTAAATACGAATTTCCATAGTCAGCTCGATTTGCATTACAAGCTATCATCCTGGTCGTACCTTTTTATTTATAAATACGAACTGCCGTGGGGCGTTCCGTTTTGAAGGCGCTCGTTTTTGAAGTGTAACGATCTTGTACATAAACGAAAACGTAGATGCATTGTAAATACGTTAAGCCAGCATGAAGTGCGTTTACATCGAATTCACGGTTAGAGATGGGATATGTCCTAATTATAATTATCTTTTACTGGTCACTTGTATAATTAATACATATACGTATGTACGAATACGCAGAGGGTTTGTTTGCATAACGGACATGTTACACGCGTAATAAAAATATTTAACGAAAGCCTTTTGACGAAATTCTTAACGATGCGCATAATAACTTTACCTTTGGTTGCGCTTGGAAAACAAAATGTATAAAGAAAAAAAAGGGAGAAGTGATCCCCACATTCTCGAACGATCAGATAGTCGAAAGTAGAGCAAAGTTGATCGCGATTATAACACCGAGAGGTTATCGTGCGAAAATATCTGCTCCTTTTGGGAATAAATGAAAATCCTTTTGAGAAAGGAAAAACATACTCAACTCTCAGCCATTTCTGAAATAACTTTACGAGAAGATAGAATAGATTTAAATATTTAATCAAAGTTTAATAAATAAACGTATTTATAAAAGTAGTATGTCTCGTCGTTTATATACCAAGGTCTCTCTCTCTCTCTCTCTCTCTCTCTCTCTCTCTTTCTCTCTCTTTTTCTTTCTCTCATGAATTTGCAATCATCATGACCCGAATTCTTCTTTCATGAACCACAAATATTTGCGTTATAATAAAATGCTCGATTTTATTTATTTTTGTGCAATCTACTTATTGTTTAGCAAATTTGCGACACGCTTTGATGAATACGCGGAATCGTTGCAGAGTTCCTATGTATTAAATAATAAATTCAACGAGTATATTGATTAAGAAAGTCACGAACGCGAGTTTATCGACAACGGAAAATCGCAAATCGTTTTAGAATTGAAACGATAACCCCTTTCTTTCGAAGTAAACGCGTCAAGTCATCGAATGATCGTTTTTCGCGAAGAAACAATGTTATCACGTAATTATGCGAACAAAATCTAATAAGATTTCAACGGCCTAATAGGATTACCATTTTTCGATTTCCAATAATAAACGAAAAATAAATACAAAAATATAAAGAGATTGAAAGAGATGAAAATGTTGTAGAAAATAATATTTCGTATTAATATCTTTAGATATCCTTGCATATGGACGCAAGGACAGGTGTTCGACTGTTGATGCAAGTTTAACGTATGCACCGTTCCTCCCGTTGTCCGTTCTAAAACGAAAATCGCAAAAGCTATCTGGTTTTTCTGGTGAAAGTAGCTTTATCGCCGCGAGAAATCTCAGGATAAATCGCCGCGTGAATATTCGCGTCGCATTCAACTGCGTTTAAAAACGTGTATAGTGAAAAACACTCGGTTACGAGCACCCTTTTACGTTTGGATGAAATACTCTTTTGGGGCCGAAAATAAACGAGTAGTAAAAATGAAAATTTTACTTCTTATTAGCATCCTTCGACTTGTAATAAATACGTTATTTAGACTCGTTTTCGTACCAAAAGAAAAAAAAAATAAATATCTTGTAAAATGTATGTATATACGAATATAATGTATATATATATATATGTCAATACACAAGTATTTTTTAATATATACATACGGAGGCGAATTTATGTACATATGTTATTTATGCAATGGTGCCGCGAAATCTGCAAACGAGTCTAAAAATCGCGAAGCCTCTATGGACCTTGCTTCGCCGATTTCATAACCAACCGTCTTGCGTCATCGAGCAAAACACTTCGATCGACAATTCCGAACGATCACGTTGACCTCGAAGAGTTTGCTGGTCCGTTTGCTGATCGACCACACCTCGCTTCTCTAATCTGTATCATTTCAATGTTTTAAATATTACTACTCTATCTCTGTATTCAATCACGACAGATAAATTTCTCTAGTTTTTGAATACCCATCATTAGTCTTAGTCAAACATAGAAGTATCATTTTCTACTTTAGTTACGAATAAAATAAGAAAAGGTAAATATCACGTACGATTAACTGTTACCGTAAGATATTTAATAAAAATATCTAATTTTATTTATGTTTGATGAAAAATAATTACAAACGAGGAAAAATAATGATTAATTATTTTATAGAAAAGAAAATTAACTCGCGATATATAGATATTTCATATTCACGATATAAAAAAATAGATTGTTTTTAATAAATGTATCGTGAAAGATCTGATATTGTAAATGAGTGAATATGAGTATAAGAAAACAGATCAAGTTTTTATACGTGATTAATTCATATATTTATTTCTATAAGAAAAACAAGGAGAGAGTATTCATAATAATCATAAGAATCAACTTCGATCTTTAATATAAATATATATATATATATATATATATATATATTTGGCGTTTCCGCATGCAACGGGCTGCGTCGTCGTTAGCATCGACGTCGGTTATACATACGTGTAGTTTTGGTCGGACATCCGGTACCGCTTTCGCCGGTGAATTTATTTATTATTTCGGAGCTTCGTGGGCCGAGCAAGTACATATGCATACTTGTATGTATGTATATATGTATGTGTATATGTTCGTATGCCATTGCATGGCTGACGGGCTCCCGGCAAAACTCTTGCCTCGAATCACGAACGGACGGGGACGCACTTCCGCTTCTTCATTATGCGTTAGAACGAACCCGCATATAATTGGAAGGTAACGCACCGAATTAGGGACCAGGTTGCTCCTTTTATCGAGCAAATTGTAGGAACGCGAGAAGCGTTTCCTGCTTTCTCGCGTTAGGCGTCCATTTTATTTCATTTTTCGGCTTATTCTTCTTATT